ACATTTAAGCGAGTTATGAAGAATCCTTTGACCGAAATATGAATGAAATCCTTGAAATGAAAAATGAACGAAACTATTAAACAATTTTTTAAAGTGAGCTTTAATGGCAGCTTTACACAAAAGTGGAGAGAAAATTGCTAGGAACGGACAGAACGTTTGATCACTGCCGAGCAACTTCAATTATTTTACTAGAGAAACAAAGATTCTCTGAGTTTTGTACTTAATCACATATTGTGAATTGGAAAATTTTAGGAGAACCTCGTCAGAATTTTGAACCAAGACTGCATGGCAGCGATCTTGACCAATTCTACGGTGCTCGACTAGCCGGATAGAGCCGCGAAGCAATAACCGGTTATCTATCTTTTAGCGCGAAACAATAACAGGATATGTGTCCGCGAAACAATAACCGGATAACTTTTAAGTTTATTGAACAAAATGCGATAATACGAGTTAATTTCTAGCGCCACTTAAGAATTTAATAACGCCACGTTACTATTTTAATTATTTGAATTGCGGATTATACTGAATGGATAAATCAAAGACATAAGTTCTGAAAAGTTGTTAGAAAACGTAGTTAACTTCCATCACTACCAATTCAAACTATTCAAATCTCTTGCTAACTCTCATAATAAAAATCGACTAAAAGATGAAAAGCTCAGGAACTGCTGCAAACATCGGAAACCTTTTTGATTTGAAATGATTTGCGAGTAAACTTCATCATAGAGCTGATATTGGAAATGTTACTGCTGCTTTAGTTTCTTCTCTTAGAGACTAATCCGCATAAATTTTCCCTATGAGGCTATTTCGATGAATGAAAGTAATGTGAAATAAATAGCGATATAAAACGAACTTGAATATTTAATTATATTAAACTAAGGGTACCAGATGAAGTCAAATGAATCAAGAAAATACCTTTCCATGATTCATCAACCAGAGAAAGTGATCGATGAAACGAACAGGACTGATATTTCGCTTGATCGAAATCCTCTGATTTTTTTCTCGAAAAGTTGTAGATAAGGCGGTATCAGTGATCGCCGCTGGAAAAGAAAAAAAATTTAAGTCGTTGTAAACATACTATCAAGCTGAACTGCGACATTCACTGCCCCAGAGCCGTCCCAGAGCAGCCGTTGAGCCGGAAATGAGGCCTGCATCGGCGCAGATCAGAGCCCGCCAGGGCAGGTGCGTAATTGCGGACTGGCGACGCACTGGGCTGGCGATATTGTCTGTGCAACGCGGACGTTTCTGCTGTGTCGCGCCTTCATCGCATATCTGCGTAGGCTTTATGGCGGAGAAGGCCAGCTCTATTCCCGGTTAAATTCGAAAGCAGTTTCTGTCGAAACAGCAGTCTCATATAATATGGAGGCACTTCAAGGTTTGAGTACGACCAACATTTTCTCAGGGTAGGCACCAGAGAACAAAACCAAATAATATCTAAACATCCATCTTTGTCACGATAATACATATATCTTATTAAGTAATGAAATTGTTCCTTAATCATTCCACTTGAACTGACGTGTAAGAAAAATACTTAGGGCGACAAAACATTCTTCAGGAACCTATAAGCAGGGAACCAGACGCTATCCGACAACAGTCATTTGAAGATCGACCCAATCGCGTTCGATTTGAAGGCATTCAAAAGTAACGGCCAATCATTAAAGCCATTTAAGGATAGGTGTGAAATTAAAATAAAATATTTTTATATGTAATATGAGATTTTAATGATGTCTGATAACGATTTTCATAGCAGATCTGGTATTTTACAATTTTCCTTGTATATACTGAAAGTTTTTATTGTTTGTTGAATAAAAAAATTATTCCACTAACAAAAAATTTGACAATAAATGAAGGTTACTACTTTCAAAATGATGATTGGCGATCAGTAACTGAGAATACTTGAAAAAGCACGAAAAGATCCGATCGTGAAATTCAGAACATCAAAAAGTATTCGGCCTCAACAACTGACACTTCATTCCATTTGCAATCAATTCATGGAAAGCCGACCCAAAAGAAACAATTTCTCAACAACAATTTCCATAAATCACTTCATTCAGGCAGACGAAATGTTATTTTTCATGTCGCTGCAACGCCATTAACACTCGAAGGATAAATGAAGCTAGCTTGACTAATGACACTAGATTTGATTACATTCGTTGAGTTAGCTATAACTCTTCAAACCACGAGAACGTCTGTGCTCTTAATATGACCAAAGGATGCTTGAGATTTCAAGTAAAAAATTTCAAATCAAACTCGAAAGGCTCAGAACATATCTTGGAACATTTTGCTAACAAATCACGTGATTAATATTAATAAATCACTGCCAGAACCGAGTAACATGAAACACTGGCTGCGCTGATAGACGCTGTTGCACTGCTCAGTTCAAGCCGAGAACATTGAACTTGTACAAATAAAGGAAACTACTGAACTCAAGCTCGAAATAGTGGGGTGTGAGCCTTTGTGTCTATATATGATCACCCGATACGAGATGTTGTTTAAAACTAGATGTTTTGAGAATAAGTACTGCACCCAAGAGGTGGTGGGTGTAGTCTTTGCTTCTATGATCACTCCATACCAGATGAAAAACCTCGCGTGTACGATAAACATTAAGATTTTTGAAGCGATACATATTTGAAGCTCAATCGATATGAATGGAAAGACGATAACTCTTCGAGCGTTCTATAGAAACTTTGCTGTACTAAAAACCATTAAACTTGCAGCAACAGTTGTATAGGAAAAATTCAAAGCGTTGAAAATAAATTATTTCTCTTTGTCTGGCTACCTCACTTCAATCGACGTTCGCCAGCAGTATATTTCTGTGATGGATTCAAAGGGCTTTTACAATTTGTTATCACTAGGGCTGCAAACGTTAGTCCATTTGAACAGGTTAATGGCGTTTGTATGAATGGGAACTTTTGAAACTTGCCTTGTCCACTAAAGATTACGTCCACACCTGTGATAGACGAAGGTACCACATAAAAGTAGGAGATGGGCAGGTGGATGGTGCAGATCATCATCACTGTTTCCATGATGAGGCATTTACTGGCATTGTGTTTCCTGGTGTTAGCAGGTGCTGTTGTATCAGCAGAGGATGAAGAGGTGAGTTTAAAGTTATTTTCAGAAGTTTAGAACGCGACTTTTTCTGTTTTGAATAAGAAATCGAGCGCTGGTACAGCCTAAAGTTGGTCAATGGATTTTTGCAATCACCATGCAAACTGTGTTAGGCTGTTCGAGAAACGAGGAGCCCAACAAGCTTTTGCTGCCGATTTGTTCTCGGTTACCCACATGGATGTCACGATATTTCAAATAGCGTCAGAGTCTGAGTTGCAGTGTGCACAATGGATCTTCGTCATAAGCGAACGAGTTTTGCAGTGTTCGCTGGACGCGAAATTCGAATTATCCTACAGCTTGCGTCCGCATCTTTTCCAGTGAAAAAAATAAAATTAACGCTGTCTTGAGTATATTTGAAATCCGGAAAAGATAAGAGGCCCCGAAAAAATCTGCTTTAATTTAGAGAAATGAACGGATATTCTATCACAATGCCGATGAAATATCATAAAGCTATCGTGTGAACAACTACGTATATATTAACCGCTTACTCACTTTCCCTCCGTATCATTGCTCTCATTGTTTATTCAGTTCGCAAAAGAAGTATCTATACCTGATATCAAAATTGTATTCTTCAAGATTTTAGAATTCGTTCAGACATGCAACTGAATTTCAATTTTTATTCGATGCCGACAGATGTCGATGCCTGGGCGCCAAATTGACGAGCTGCAGCTGAGCGACGCCGAAAGGGAGGCCCTGGACCTCCAACTCAAGCGGGTCAGTTTGGTTAGATGTTTGAATTGTTAAGGAATTTAGTGTGATATTTTAAATAAAAGTTAGGCATTGCTAATTTTAGTTTTGAGTCACCTCTGACGTGATATCGTTGAGTCATGATCCGTAATTATTGATTGATTTGTGAACCACCACCTTAAGGTATGTGTTTTTGAGTCATTATTAGTTCTGTTCAGAGTAGCATTAATCATGAGCATGTAACTTCAATGGTTTCTATATAATTGCGAAATTTATTCTATATATTCTTCGTTAGTTTATTATTAAGTTTCATATGCTACTTATATTAGTTATTTATTATTCCAGAAAGTTACCGAATCTTGAGTCCGAATCTCGAATACGAAGTTTGGACACAAACTAAGAGGCATGGTTTATGTCCCATATTATTGTATTTGAAGTATGTTTATTATTGTAGTTCTCACTTATTTTGTTTCATATGCTACTTATATTAGTTATTTATTATTCCAGAAAGTTACCGAATCTTGAGTCCGAATCTCGAATACGAAGTTTGGACACAAACTAAGGGGCATGGTTTATGTCCCATATTATTGTATTTGAAGTATGTTTATTATTGTAGTTCTCACTTATTTTTATTCATCTTTTATATGCCATCATACCCAAAAAACATTTTTTAGCGTTAATGGGAGAATCCGTCACGGATAGACCAATAGCTATATTATGGAAAGAAAAAGAACCAAGAGAAAGAAAATGAACTTTATAAAAGGAAAGGGGTTTCCACTTATTTGAACAAGTTTAATGTTGTCAATATTGTTCCCGGTTTTATTCATGATATTGCATGCCCTTTGTTTGGGAGAACAGTTGACAAATTTTTAGGTGATTTGTTGACTGAACATCAAATTCAAGTTCAAAACTCGTATATGAATTTTATGATTAGATTCAAAAAGTGTTTGAGTTCCACACTTAAATTTTACCCAGACAGTGTCCATGAGATAAATATTTAAACATACGTGTCGAACATTCGTATATTGAGTGCTGAGATCAGTAGTTTACCCAATACTGAGCTATCAACTTGAATTTGAAATTAAACACAACGTTATTCAACGAGTTATTTCTGTGAATCGAGTGTTTTATAGGAGAGCTCAAAATTCCAGAATATTGTCGAAGACGCACTTTTTGCTTCACAAAATATCCCGATCCGTTTTTTCCAGGCTCGAAACAACCCGGAGCTGAACCCAGATCTCTACCAAGGCGACATTATGCTCACGGACGAGCAGAGAAAAGCTCTCGAGGAGCGCAAAGTCATGAATGACAGCTCTTACTGGTGGCCGAAGGCTGCGGATGGCTACGTCAACGTCAATTATCGCTTCGCTGCGCGTAAGACTTGAAATTCTAGAGATCTACGCAAGGGGGACCTAAGTAAGCATTTGTAAACTTTATTATTCATAAATCAGATTCAATAAATGATTGATCAAGCATCCCTTAGCAACTAGCTCACGAAATAGAATTTTACAATCAATGAAGTTGTTAGAAACTCGTTTCTGTATACGAGCTAGAGTAAACTCCACTGCTGAACATGGGTCGTTCACAACAATATTTTGGTGCACATGGAAGTAAATAATTTGAAATACACACAAATTTATTCACACCAAAAGCTTGTTGCATACTCTGATCACAGCTCAACGGCTATTATTTTTCGTTTAATTTTTTCGCAGCTATTCCATGAATGGCCTATATACCACCTGACAGATCATTAATAACAAATGAATAAGTTTTTCGGTAAATAAATTTTACATCGTTTGAATCAAATTCTCTTCCATTATGCTAAAAAAAATGAAATAAATTTCCACTTAGCATACGTAAATGAATAAAGAAGCGTGGAAAATGGTTTATTAGTTTCGCTTAAATAATTGAGGAATTATCTCACGTGCTAGTATCGATTATATATACCTGATATTGTACACGGGTATTTATTTAGTTTACTCTGCTAATCATCTTCTGAAAACTTTCATAATTCTCGTTGCGGTTTCCCATTTTATTGAGTTATAGCTCAACACAGGTGCAAGCGTTGATTATCATCAAAGTTCGTCGATTGTCTTCAATAGAATTAATTAAGCCACTTTTGCACAAATCGACTCGGGCGTCCACGGGCGTCCTGCTAAATCTACGGTTCAAATGGCAAATCAGAGCATACGTACATGATGGCTCAAGAGAGACATCTCCTTACCTACCTAATAATCTATATACTTCCCGCTTAATTAATATTCTCGGAACAATATATGATTTTGAACCGTATTTATCGACTTGTCGTAAGACTACATCAATTGGTGTCATTATAAGAAAAAACACCGATACTATAATTATCTAATAATATAATATGGCTCTAGTTTGGCTGAATTTTAGTTACCTTCGGAGCATCCCGAAGATGGTACTTTAGAATATATTAACCCGGTATTGATCGAACATAATTCGATCAATTTTATTATATCTGCTGCACACATGTGTAGTATTTATTTAACCCTGGTGACTTTTCCGCGTGATTTTTAAATTGATTTTTGTCGAGCGACTTCATATCACTAAACTATCGTTCCTTTTTATTGAAATACCAAAAATCATCAAAATACAGTACTTAAGCAAAATTTTTATGATCAGTTAATGAAAATTTCAATAATTAGATGTATGTTCCATTTATTACTTTTATTTACTAGAATGTCAAAGCTGTTAATTAAATAGACACAACTCTCTTTAAAAAGGAAATATTAATACTAGCACCGACTGTAGAAGTACTTGTCATTCATATCCTCAAATGAATTTCAACAAACGGAGATTTTCTAAATACATATTTTAATTTTATATGCTACAGTTAAAGCTGGTTCATTGAGTCTCATAACCACTTAGCTAAAATTTAAGCGTTTAATTTAGTGAGATCGAAATATTGTCCGCTTGAAACGCTTGCTGTTCAATATTTCACACGATTTGTGCAATTTAAAATGTGGATAAATTTTGATCCGTTACCCTGCACCTTGCTCCTCGAACAACAAGAGATGCATATTATTAATAGCTTATATTAATTAAACATTTTTTACCTCGACAGCCTCCATTAACCAGACGATGGTGCGGCGAGCAATTAGCTCGTGGGAGACGAATACGTGCATCAGGTTCCATGAAATTACAAGTGCGGATGGCAAACCGCATCTCATCTTCCAAGACAACAACTCGGGCTGCAACAGTAATATCGGCAGAATTTATTTTTGGAACGGGCAGCCTGTGAACCTTGCACCCGGATGTTTGACTTTGGTGAGACCTTGCCTCGATGTTACACTCGAGTGTAGTAATATTTGAGAGTCTACGTCGTTACAGTAAGGACGTTTGAATCCGATGGTCGAAAAGAACTTACGTCGTTAAAGATGTTTGAAGGCCTTCTTCGCTATTTTCGGGCTTCATTTGTTTAGAGTCTTGCATACTCGAAAAATTTTGGAATAGCAGCCTCCTTACCACAGGTGAATGTCATAAGACAATTTTCTGTTATTTTTTTAGTGCCTGTTTCTACGATTCAGTTGTATGTACAACTGCACAATCATTATTTTCTTGTGATTTCGCTCCCTCCCTTCCCTCTATCCTTATTTCCTTTCCTGCTACAGAGGGCGCTCGCGCTTCCAACCTAACAGGCTTATCCCTAAAGAGTAGAGTGTCCTACCTTTCCGCACGATAACGTGTTCCATCGTTATCATCCTGTAACCTTCCTTCATCTGCACCCAATCTCCAACACTTTTCGCATGACCTCTCGAGATCACTGGAAATATTCAATTGAAAAATTAACTCTAGCTAGGTTACCAACTGATCGAGAGGAAAGAAATGCCTGGCTGAAAATATTCCTGGCCTCACTGCAGAAACGAAGCCTTTTATTAAGTGCCTTTTTTATTCGTTTCTTATTAAGAAACGAAGCCTTTTTTTACTTTTAGCCTATTTCTAGCTAGGGATTCCTGTCCATGAAATCGGCCACGCCATGGGGTTCAATCATGAACAGAGCCGCTCCGACCGAGACGACTACGTTATCGTGATGTTTGGTAACATCCTGACTAGCATGGCTTCGAATTTCGACAAGAGAGGAACGATCAACTTCGGCGTCCCATATGACTACTCCTCCGTCATGCATTATGATTCATACGTGAGTTTTTGGCAGCCTATGCTTTATAGTCCAAAAATTAAATTTACCTAAAATGGCAAACTGAACCATTATTGTCATGTTTTGTTTCTAAACGAAATTTTTTCTTCACGTATGGTGTTCAAACAGGCGTTTACTAGCAATGGAAATGAAACCCTGATTGCCAAAAATCCGTACGGACAACTTTTTATGGGTCAGCGCGACGGCTTTTCATTCATGGACAAGAGGATTGCCAACCTTCAGTACAATTGCACAGGTTAGGAAAATGGATTAATGGCAATTTTAATTTGAAAATATCCAGACTGACACGACCAGCGAAATAATCAGTGCTGATCATTTAGGAAATTTTTCATTTAACTACTACTAATAATATAATTTTTGTAACTAATCTTATTAGGAGTGGATTTGAGCGAATGAGTTTAATTTCAAAAATATGACATAAAAATTCGTTCCTTTGTATTCACATAGTCAGACAGGTGTTTGAAATATATATAATTCTTCGTTATAAGTTACTTTTGCCGCCTGGCAGACGATTAGAAAGCATCACACTGAATCGCATTTCTCTAACATTATTGTCCTCAAAGTTGATTGAAATACTGTAAACAAATTTAATTATATATTTGAATTTTCCATCTCTGAGCAATAAAATTATAATTTCCCTGAAATTCCATAGAGATAACACTTTCTGATAATGAATCACAAAAAATTCCTTTACCAGCAGTGTTCGCAACCACGTTTCAAATTGTAAACACAAATAGGATGCTGTCAATTTTTTTGGAAATTTTCACGTCTATAATTAGCCGTGTACCTGAGAAACTGTGGCGCCACAACGGATCCCTGCCAAAACTACGGATACTATGGACCCAATTGCAAATGTGAATGCCCGCCCGGTACCTCAGGGACTAATTGTGAAATATTGATTAAACCATACCTCGGTGAGTTTATTTCCTTAGGAAGAAGCCTTACAAGGTCAAAAAAATATAGAGCAATATATAAGGCATATTGTATTGAGCAATATTTATAGGTCAAAAATATAGAGCAATATCAAAATTTCGTTAACAATCGATGCATGTAGTAAAACATTAAATGAAATCTATATAACCTTCACATGCGCGGTTGTTACTTATGCCAGGCATTTATCTGCGTATCGTGAACATTGACGTGATATAATATTTATGATCGTTACATTAAATAAGAACACTTGATCGTAAAGCATTAATTATACTAAGCCTTAAAACAGATGCCCTGGTCTCGACCAAAAGTAATAACAGTCGAACAATCACAACTGAGGGAGTGGTCACATCGCCTGGCTATCCGGCGCCCATCGCAAGCGGTAAATTTAAAATTTCAGAACCGTAACGGCTCAAAATTATCTTTTTAAAACTTATTTAATAAAATATGTTTAAATATTTAAAATAATTTCTATAAATTATGAACCTAGTATAGATAACAATTCGATATATGTTGAGTAATTAGTGAATCAAATTAATCTATCAATTGCAGTTATTAATTTAATTCACAATTAAATTATTTCAAGATATAAGCGCATGCAATTTCTAAATAAATGATTGTGATTCAATATATTTCTCCATCAGTGGACGAGTACATTCAAATCATCACCGCACCGGCGTGCAAGAAAGTTCGCCTGACGTTTACTGCTTTTGGATTGATCTCTCGAGCCTCCGCCTCCGATAACTCCTGCTACTTCCAGCAGTTGATTGTCCGTAGGAGTGACATCCTCGCCTCACAACCGTAAGACATTAGCACGCCACACAGTTATTTTCATCAGTGGCACTGCCAGTCCTTCTGTTGTTTGGACGGCGGTCAAGTTATTCAATATCAATATAAATTAAAAAATCAAATAGATGAAGAGATGAAAAAGATTGAAAGTTTATTGGCTGCTCCCCCATTATTTTGCTGGGTTCATAGTTAGATTCAACTCGAATGGCGGCCTAGCGAAAGTAAATATTCATCTTCGTGAGGCCAATTCTAGAGTCTATTGAACAATACAAAGAAGAAATTTGCAACAAATACGCTTTTACAAATACCTAAAGATGCAAAACATTGCTCAAATTGAGTGTCTTCGGATTTAACATTGTTTATGATGGATTATCGGAAAATTGAATCAGTGAGTTTTTCACGTTCACACCTGAACAGAAGACAATTTTTTAAGGAATGGTAATATTTTTTTCAGGTACTGTGGCACTGAAATCCTCAGTGGCCAAGTGTTCGAGAGCGTGGGCAACAGGATGGTTTTGCACTTCATCTCTCGGCTCAATTGGGTGCGTCCGGGCTACTCGGCCACCATCACCTTCGTGCAGGACCAGACTTCGCCTAACTGGTAACCGCTTTGTGACAAAATACTGAATAATTATTGCTATTTCATGCCTGCTTAGCCATAATATCTTATGATATTGTAATCAAGAAAATATTGATTAATGTTGGTACGTTTTATGAATTCATAAACATCTTGGTAGAGGTTTGTAGTAGACTCCAGAATTGAGACTCATTATGATTAGCTGCACTGACAAATTAAGATGTCCGCGTTTAGCATGATTAGAATAATCAAAAGATAGCCCATCAAGGGATCAAATACAACTCAATAAAAAGGAATTAATATCACGATTCATCTTGTAAGGAAATTAAAAGCATAATAATATTAAATGTCGTAACAATACAATTTTTCTCAGCACAAGTACTACTTCCGCGTCTACATCCACCACCACTTCTACCACCACCACTCGTACCACTACTACTTCTACCACCACCAAGCCAACCACCGCCACTCCAACGACCACCAAGCCTACCACCACCACTCCTACCACCACTACCACAAGCAAACCTACCACCACAACGACCAAATCCACCGAGAGAACAACTACCAAACCCACCACTACAACTACCAAACCCACCACCACAACGACCAAACCCACCACCACAACGACCAAACCCACCACCACAATCACCATTAGAACCACTACCACCACCACAAAACCCACAACCACCACTATAAAGCCGACAACCACCAAGCCTATCAAAGTGAATAACGGTCGGAAGTGAATAACGTCCGTCAATACTCCGCTTCTCGACGTGCTGATGCTAAGCCACCTCGGCGCGTACGGGGCTCTGTATGCTCTGTAATGCAGTAAACTGTTCAAGCAAGTATTCGTTTTACTAACATCACAGTTCCTGATTATTTTACTCGTCAGCTATACTATACCACAATGAGGATGCAGTTGCCGCTGACCGCCAAAAATTTTACGGCAACAGGTAGTGAGCGAAGATTTCGCGAGCGTGCATTCGATCCGACCGATTGAGAAGAAGTCTAAAGTTCGAAGGGTGTTGGTGAAAAGTTGATGGAGTCATATTGAAATGCACATTAGATGTTGTCTTGAACGTAAGAAACAAAACTTGATGGTGTGTAAGACTAGTACCACGATGTCCTCGCAGAATAATCTGGTTAGTCGATAAAAATTCGAGGAATCTGATTACTTGATGCGACATGCTTATTCACGCAAAGGTTTTATACAAGTTCATTATTTTAATGCTCCTGGAAGATCTCTAAATTGTATCAAGAAATGTTTTGGGAAGTAATAGAAGGAGAGTATTCGGAAGGAAACATTATTTATCTAAGTAATGTAGGATACTGCGTGTAGTAGTCATCATGGTCATAATTAATTTGAAATGTGCTGCTATTAATCCTACTAGTTTGATGTGATTCAGTTAAATCGTTATAATAAGAAAAAGTTTAGTAATAAAAAAAACATTGAAGGTGATGATCTTTTTTAGGGGCACGTTTATTTACCGGTTAGGCTAGCTTCTTAAGAGTTTAATTGAGTTGCATGGATTCGTCATTGAAGGATGTTTCTGGTTATTTCTACAATTTGATGGCAATTTCAGCGCTGTATAAAAACGGCTTAACATAATTTACATAATAAGTTGATACAACAAAACAAATCATCACTGAATGTTATCTAATTTATGTCTCACCTGCTACTCAAAGCTATTCGAACTTAATGATAAATCCTATACTGAATCTGCAATCAATTTAAAGGAACTTAATTTCAAATTTTCAATGGTTACTGGTTCACTCGAGCAGAAACAATTTGAAATATATATTAATTTGAAGCTGTCCCAATAATGGTCCAGGGCAATATACGAGCCCATGGTTGAACTATAAAATCTACTAGTTCAACCATGAGTTCAGCCGTTTCTGAAATAGAAAGATTATTTATAACATTTTAAATACAATTCGAAAGTTCTCTAAAAACTAAAAATTTATTCACTCTAGCGATGAAAAAAGTCTGTTATAGTTTCACGAATATCAGTTCAGCAGTTTCTAAAATAGAATTAGTATTCAAAAATTTTTAAATTAAACTCGAAAGTTCTCCCAAACCTATAAGTTTATCTACTCTACGGAGACAAAAAGTCTTATAATTTCACGAGTATCAGTTCAGCCATTTATAAAATAGAATTAGCATTAATAACTTTTTAGATTCAACTCCAAAGTTCTACCAAACCTCAAAGTTTATTAATTTTAAAGCGGCAAAAAGTCTGTTATAATTTTACGAGTATCAGTTCGGCCGTTTTCAAAATAGAACTAGTATTCATAACTTTTAAAATTCAACCCCTATAAGTTCTCCAAAACCTTGAAATTTATTCATTCTAAAGAGCTCAAAAGTCCGTTATAATTTCCAGAGCACGAGTATCAGTTCAGCCGTTTCTAGAATAGAATTAGTATTGATAACTTTTTTCATTCAACTCGAAAGTTCTCCTAAACTTAGAAATTTCTTCACTTTAAAGCGGCAAAAAGAATGTTGTAATTTCACGAGTATCAGTTCCCCCATTTCTAAAATAGAATTATTATTCATGACTTCTTGTATTCATCTCACCAGTTCAGCCGTTTCTAAAATAGAATTAGCATTCATAACTTTTATATTCAACTCAAAAGTTCTCCCAAACCTAGAAAATTATTCATTTACAGCGGTAAAAAGTCTGTTATAATTTTACTAGTATCAGTTCAGCCATTTCTAAAAAGAAATAGTATTCATGACTTCATCTATTCAACTCACCAGTTCAGCCGTTTCTAAAATAGAATTAGTATTTATTTATTCAACTTTTTAAATTCAACTTTAAAGTTCTGCCAAACCTCCATCTATAAAAAAAAATCAATAGAAAGCTAAAGATAATCGTTGAGTTGCTAACAATGGTAAAATATATACAAAAAATCATATTATATTAGAAATTTTGTTTAGTTTGGTTTGTTTATTGGAAATTATGTTCCGTTTTAATGTAACGGAGACAAGGAAGATTAAGTTTGTAGCGAGTCGACTTCAGAGGAGAAGGTTTTGTTCAGAAAAAGAGGAATTACTCTGGAAGTGACTCTAAAATTTGTAATTTAATGCAGTATATTCTACTGTAAACTTGGTGCAACCTATATCATTTCCAATTAATCCATTTGAATTAATGCATGCCAAGGGCCCTAATTTATTACTTTATATGCATGCGGTGTCACCTCTTTGGTCTGGCCCGACATACTATGTGTCGTTGACACATTTATTATTCTTGACATCATTGCCGGCCTTTGTGCCAATCTTTACGTTTTAACACTTTGAACTTATTTTGCTACCCTTAAGTTGGGCCGGCCAGTATTTCATTTCTTTGTACTTGCACCTATTAACAATTTCACCCTGAAAGGCTGTCAAGCCACTTCTACAACCAGCCAGCGGCATTAACTTAGGTTAGTAAGTTGAATTACCTTGAATATAGAATAGCCTAATAGAATGAAAGGTATTACTTTAGATTAAGTGCATCCAAAAAAAGGGTGTTTTTTTTTAATTATATGTTTTTTGGGGTGTAGATTAAGAATCGGAAATCCGTTTTTGGCGGTCGGCATCGGAAATTTTTAATGGAACCTGTTCCTAACTGGACCTAACCTGCGAGGTTTTCGTTGATCGGCTAGGTTTTTTCTATTTTTGGAGTCCATCCGGCAGCCAGAAAAACCTAGCCAATAGGTTTTTTCTATGTTTGGAGTCCGTCCGGCGGCCGGAAAAACCTAGCCAATAGGTTTTTTTCTATGTTTAGAGTCCGTCCGGCAGCCGGAAAAACCTAGCCAATCAACAAAAACCTCGCAGGTTAGGTCCAGTTAGGAACAGGTTCCATTAAAAATTTACGATGCCGACTTAGAATCTCTCTCTAGTTTGACTCAGGTTGGGGAATGTCTCCGATTGTCTTGCATATCGCATTCAATTAAATATCTTTAAATAGAAGCATATCTAATAATCTATGTCTACGTTCCTTAACTCCCAGCCCAAATATATTAAAGGGATGGCTGCCCTTGAATGTTAGTCATATGATAAAAGTTTATAATACAGTGAAGGATGCGTCAAATAAAGCGCAATTAGAAGATGATCTTGACAGCTTAGTAAACTGGGCTGATACGTGGCAGCTGCGGTTTAATGCTGACAAGTGTAAAGAACTTCACCTCGGGAAGAATAATGAACAGCAAGATTACATTATGAGAAGACATGGTTGCAACGAGAGAGTAATGATTGAAAAGTCTAGTGTGGAAAAAGATCTCGGAGTTTATGTAATTTCGCGAGTGTGCATTCGATCCTATACCGATTTAGAAGAAGTCTAAAGTTCGAAGGTTGCAGATGAGAGGTTGATGGAGTCATCTTGACATGTATTCTAGATGCTGTCTTGATCGCGAGAAATTGAAACTTGATGGCATGAAAGACTAGTAGCACGATGTCCTCGCAGATTGATTTGGCTAGTCGATAAAAATTCGAGCAATCTGATTACTCGAATGCGATATGCTTATTCACGCAAAGATTTTATACAAGTTCATTATATTAAAGCTCCCGAGAGATCTCTAACTTGTATCAGTAGATGTTTTGGGAGATAGTAAGTAAGCAAATTTTTATATCGTATTCATTGTTTCGTGTTTACGGTTTAGAAACTTTCAAACGATCTTGCTTCAATGCAGCTCAAAACGAGCCCAGTTTATCAGAGTGACTGCGCGGCTATTTCAATTTGTATATTGTCATATTCTTGATGAGATTCAGAAGTAATATAAGGAAAGTATTTGGAAAGAAACGCCATTCATCCATGTAATGCAGGATACTACGTGTCATGGTCGTAATTAATTTTAAAAGTACAGCTGTTAATCAAACTAATTTGAAGTGATTCAGTTAATCGTTATAATAAAAATTAATAATCAAGAAAACATTGAAAGTGAGAAATATTTTTAGGAGCACGATTATTCACCAGTCAGGCCTGCTTCGTAAGAGTTTAATGGAGTTAGCATGGATTCGTCACTGAAAAATATTCTAGGTTATTCCTACGATTTGGTGGCCATTATTTCTAGCGTTGTAAAAAAACGCTTAACAGAATTTTCGCAAAAAGTTGAGTCAAACAAAAATAAAATTAATATTCATAATTACTTATGTTCAACTCGAAGGTTCTCCCAAACTTAGAAATATATTTCATAACTTTTTATATTCAACTCGAAAAATACACAAACCTAGAAATTTATTCTCTTTAAAGCGGCAAAAAGTGTACGTGTTTTAATTTCACGAGTTTCAGTTCGGCCGTTTTTAAAATAGAATTGCTATTTATAACTTTTTTCATTCACCTCGAAAGTTATACCAAGCCTTGAAATTTATTCACTCAAAAGCGGCAAGAAGTCTATAACGTTTTCATGAGCATCAGTACAGCCATTTATAAAACAGAATTAGTATTCATAACTTTTGAAAATCAACTCGAAAGTTCTCTTAAACCTCCATCTATAAAAAAAATCAATAGAAAGCTAAAGATAATCATCAGGTTGCTAACAATTATAAAATATATACAGAAAATCATAATAAAGCAGTATTCTAATTTAATCTATTCCTCTCAGAATATTTACACATGATATTCACACTTAATTCATCGCAACTCCTCCACGGCTCCGCACCAGACAATAACTAACCCAGCGTTCCTAGAGTGCGGACGTGGACAATGAGGTTGTATCTAAACCTAAAAATTTCAGAATTAAATGTCACTTATTAAAACCCTAACATCAGAGATATATATATTATTCATGTTTGTTTATATATATGTTGGGCGTTCAGATCAAATATTCCTATGAATAAATCTGTTCTACTATTTTTCAAACAATTTAAACCGATTCTGCAAGATGAGCCTGATAGTAGACGTTCGAATCGACAAAACATTTGATACGGTGTAATCACGAACTTCAATACAGTTTTTAATGTGTTTGTGGAATGGTTGATAAAATAATACCTTCTATATCTTGTTAATGCGAAGACGAGAATACATTCTTATGCACCTTCCGATCATATTTCTTGTTGTCACTGCGCATGAAAGAGCATGCAAATACGCGTTATTTTGTATGCATGAGAACGATGTCGTAAATTCATGTAAAATGATTGTACTATTGGCTGCTGTTGAGAACATGCGCATTTCTCAGCCACCTTCTCAGCAGCGATTGTGCGAGCAGAATATATTATATTCATATATCGAACCAGATTTTCATTGACATCCAATTACTACAGACCTAATCATACGAGTATTCTAGGGTTACATTCTAGAATATTTTATTCAACGAGCACGGTGATTCATTGAAACATTATTCAGTTCTTTACGAAGAAGGTTAGTGGCACACACCTGACATAGTCAGACCTTTTTACATCATGCATATAGGGACTCCTATCGGAACATATGTTCAGTCGGGAGCGACAAGGTTTATGGGCAAGATGCTGGTTGTAAGCAGACTGAAAATCTTACCTCTTTTGGTGATATCAGTCACCTTTATTACGGTAATTTTGAATTGCTAGAATTATCAACAAATAAATGTTGACTGGTCTGAAAATACCTCAAAGTATTTATGGCACATCGTATTTGTCGCGTTTGAACTTGAAAGTATATTCTAACTTAAACTTCGTCGCACCAAAAATGTCAAGAAGAGATAGATTTAATAGTAATTTATTTCCCATACGTATTCTCATTCACTTCGTACGCAAAACAAAGCTCGTTATTTCTTCAACAGGCCAATCAGGATGTGGGAAGCAAGCGGGATCCACTTGATGGCGCGCTGACGAAGGCTCAATGGGAGTTGTCCCGCCAACGAAGAGCCGTCCAAGTCCATTCAACGCACAGAAGTCACTACGGCAAAATTATCAACAGGATTGTTCAAGGTGGGATAGTGCTCGTGATTAATCTAAGTTTGAAGCATTTAAAATTTTAAATCATCTTATGTGGACCTCAGTTCCATTCACAAAACCTCAACGAGGAAAGAGTTTACCTTTTTTAATTGAGAACCAACTTTACTTCGTAATGATTATCGGATAGAGTTTTCAAAAAGTGTAATTGATCGATAAAACATGCATCTCGACTTACAACAATAATGGGACGGAAAAGTGGAGACTATTCTAATTTGCAGCAAACAACAAATTAAAATGCTGCCACGACATTGTCGTGGGTATAGTGGAAGCCCAAAGGTTTGGTACTTAATGAAGCACCGTTATATTAAAAACACTTTATTGCACAAATTACAGTAAAACATTGCACAAGGAACAACTCACTCTCGTGGACTTATCGAGATATCTGTAAATCGGCAATATCTAGTTTCACTAGCCCCTTGTTGCCGTGCTGAAGCCCACTTTCATACTACTCGTTCCTAATTCGCCATCTCTATCCTCGATTCTAACTTCCTCTAAAACATTTTTACAATGCTAATTCTAATTAATTACAAATTCACAATACCTATATATTTAATAGAAGCCTTATATTCCAACATTAAAATACAATTTACAACAAGCCCTTTACAACATAAAACTAATTCCAAGTCATGAACCACTGAGGTGCTGTAATTTTTTAAAATCATCCTATTATGATTATAGTTTAGTTCTATGAGATTTGTTGCCGCTAATTAGTTTGTTTCCTATTATGATATTAAAATTGTTGTGAGGTGGTAATAATTTTTGCTTACGTGTCGGAAAAAAATCCACTTTTTTAGCTGAAAAATTTCATTTATGGTCATCGTCTGCTAATACAAGTTCACCACAATTTTATTTTGCTAATCCACTTGGGCCAATAAAGAAAGTAAAACAGGAAATCGAATTATAACAGAATGAATGACTGAAGATATAACATTATGAGGTTAGGTGGATTCAATCATCGTACATCTACAAATATTTTCCTGTCCATAGAAGCTTATCCTTTTTTCTACCGGCGCAAGTAATCGTCGGCACGGAAACAGACGAAAAAACAAATGATTGAGAACAATTTGTAAAAGAAGAACAATCATTGATTATATTATCTACATCACGAGCACTGTTGTCTAAAGAGTATACGTATATATATATATATAGTCATCAGATGACTCTGAGATGTGAGGTCTTAGAATGCTCACAACCAAGAAGTAATTTCATATTAAAATACACGTGCCACTAGTAGCAATGCCAGTGAAGATGCGTTATTTTATCGGTCCTGTACCGATTTTTGCACCACAAAGGCGCGAAAAATTGTGCTGCGTAAATAATGGAACTGAGTTACGATCGAATTATTCGATCCAAATTTAATAACCGCAACAACGAATATTGAAACCTCATTATCAGCTTCTCGGCGATAATATTTCAGACCGCCATCTTAACCGCTTAAACACACATAATAACTATAAAATGGACTATATAAGACATATAGTGTACTGAAATTCCAATTGATGTTTCTCCGACATCTGTTGGGGTAATAATCTCTTGTTACATTTAAGATTGAAGAAAACTTCCGGTTTTACTACCAACTGAACTGACTCCTCCATTAAAAACTTTTTCCCTCCTCTGCTACAGCAGATTTTTCGAAAATTTCTCCATATAATTCTCATGTTACGATCCTCTGACGGCCGGACCATTATCCCTTATATCCTCCTTCTGTATTACAGATTCTACGGAGAGTCCTCAGACGGTTGGAACTGAATCCACTGTTGATTCATCCGTCGCTGTCATTGCTATATTTTCACCTGCTCAATCTACTTTAAGCCTTGATCAAACCTTCAATCTCACAGTTCGTTCATCTACTACCACTTCCAGTACTTCAAGTGCCCTAACTACAACTCGCGCCACTACATCTCCTATTACTTCACTAACTACCACTGCACCACAACCCCCTCTACCACTACAACCCCCTCTACCACTACAACCCCCTCTACCACTACAACCCCCTCTACCACTACAACCCCCTCTACCACTACAACCTCCTCTACCACTTCCCTCACTACTACAACTTCTACTGGGTTTACCACCACTTCAGTCAAAACTACTACTCCAACCACTTCTCCCACCATAACTACGATTCTCAGCAGTACCACAACCCCTACGAACACACCATCAACAACTACTCCTACCACCATAACCACGAAGATTCCTACTACTACCCTTTCACCGGTCATAGTAACTCCCGACTTCAACGCTACCATCACTGGGAGATGCACTCTCCTAACAATTTCTCCGTCACACTACCAACTGCTCAGTCCTAACTACCCCAGACGCTACAAGCCGAATGAACGGTGCAAGATCGTCATCATGCCGGTAAGACTGCACATTATAGTCGTATAATGGTATTCGATAATTTTATTGAATCTAAAGCTCGATGAAACTTATTAGAATCCAGGTGTTTTTTCTGTCCTTTAGTCAAATATTATTAAACGTAATTCTTCACTTGTTTCTTCTGCATAAGTATAGAAAATTTACCATATGACAAATACCCCAGAAAAAGCCACGATTGATGCAAGTCACGCCAGGCCTGAAGCGTCTTGGCGCCGATGATTGGCTGTTGCTCAAGTCGCCGTACAAAAACAGTATCACGTGAGTTGACCTATTTATAATTGGTCAAATTTGGCCATTCAAGTGACATCCCAGTAGATAAAATTTTTAGCGTAAAATTTAAAGCAAACTTATGTAATTTGGCATTTTCAACCCCTAGGAAATTCAGCACCTGAATTACCAATTACCAATTCAGCAAATACAAATTCCCAGTCAAGCCCCTATAGGTAATTTGGCACGCGGTATTCATTTAGAGAACTTTAATCACACCGAATAGTCAGTTATTCGCAACAAAGAACAAAGTAAATACGAGACTCTGTACTCTGTAGACTAGATCTCTGTCTATACCTGCTGATAATAGTCAAGAATTGCACTATAATTTGAAGTAGAAATGATAGGAGCCAGTTTGCAGTCGACTATGTATATACACTAATTATTAGTTGTGACAATACACAAAATTGGAAATTTTTCAGGCTCAATTTGTGACATGCAGGAGATTTATTTGGTTCGTTGAGAGTGATTTAACGCCATCGAAGTGGCTAATTTTTCAAATAAATTACTTCATGTAGCGATTTACATTACTCAGTGATGTAACAATCCTTGCGTGTTACAGATTGACAAAGAAAAGTAGAAAATCCGAAACGTTTCCTTCGACCGCAATGGTGATCAATTTTCGAGCTGCTGAAAAGGAACAAGGACGAAATTTCACAATCGATTTGGAGGTGCTTGACAACAAATGCAACCGTGTAAGTCTGAATGTTTGTACTCTTTTTCTTTCGAATGATCCCTACTATTTTCTATTATTCCGGCCTCCAAAAAAGTCCGGCTTGCAAAATTATGTAGTTTCTTCAGTCAAATATTTAATCAATTCATTAGCCTTCAAAATAAAATGCAAATGCGAGGCTTGACATACGAATATTTTCATATTACTCACTTGAGTCTCCAATAGCCCGTGTGATAAAAAATACGTTCCATACCAAAATTACACCAGACCCTCATCCACAAGCATGTATTCAGACAAAGGTTTGAAATGTAATCTCAAATTATTTGTGTAAGTTTAATAATTATTACTGGAAGACCTGAAATTTAGCTAAATTTGTATCGCCCGTCCGTACTAGGTAATCACCGTGCCTGAGGGAGGGTCTGGCACGTTGCGATTACCCAAGAATTTTGCATCGCAGCCGCGGTGCGAGTGGTGGCTGAAAGTGAGTTCCCTGACACTTAGCGGTCTTTACAAGTCAAACTCTACTTATTTACAATACGCAACTTTTATAACATCAGCCAACTCTATTTTTTTTTGCTAACAAAAATTTCTCGATCTATTGTAATTTATGCGATTAATCTAATAATTCCGTACAGTTAATTGAAAAAAATCCTTTGTATATCTATTTTGCCTTCAAGCATTCTCTCCCTCTTCCAACAAGAGTGGCAGTCGAATCGGCAGAGCCCTAAAAGGATTTAATTTAACATAGAATTATCATTACAACTATTTTTCAGGCACCTATTGGTCGTAAAATCCAGTTGAAATTCGAAGAAGCCGACCTCCGACGTCTCGATTGCAAGAAGCACTACGTTGTTGTGAACACCCAAGGCCTGCCTGACTATGATATGGCTAATAGGTATGCGACCGGCAACAATCGCTTCTGTAAAAACGAAGCGGTAAAAAATTTGACTTCCGTGGACAACCGCATGAACGTTCTCATTAACGCCCGGCCGACGAAAATGAATTTCCGCGCCACGTACGATCTTGTGTGATGGAAAGAGAATGCGTTGAAAATGGAAGTGCATTTCCAACTTAAATCTGTCGTAGCACTTCGTAATTTTGTTACCATGGAACTAAACAATAGCCAGTTTGATTTCTGCAATGAACATAAAAATCATTCCTCGAGGTATGAATTCCCTTCTTTAAAAATATTTTGCATCTCGAAACCAGAAATCCCAAAGGATTCCATAAGTAATCCGAACGATAGGGTAAGACCTCCTAGTTAAACCTTATACCTCTGAACTTCGTACCTCGAGCTCTTCTATTGTAAAGGGAGAGACGATTGTAGATTTGGTATACATTGAAATATTAAAATTTTGATACTGCACCAGAATTCCACCAACACTTCAAATTAAATTCTCCCAATTCGGTAATTGAGTTAATTGTAGAAATTCAGTCAGAAGGTTATTTTCAGCCGAAATTTCAATTTGAGTAATTTTATCAGCTGAAAGAGCTGATACACCACAACCATTCCGATGCCAAGAGCCTTTTCGGAAGTCACATTTCTGATAGGCCGATTTTGCATTATGGTAGCTAGATGAGCCCCTGGTCATGCTGTCTCATGATCGCCTCTCTCAGAAGCTGTTCAAGGGCGAAATAATGGCCATTTATCGCTCAAGGAATGGCATCAATGTGTGAGCAATCGTGTTTCTGCAGTATAATATTTTTCGACAGAATATGATGATATTTTATTTTACCTATTGTATGAGCTGCTTAACGTATCTTGAAAGGTAATTGTCTGACTGTTTCGTTGTGTATATTCCTGGAGGCATGACAACATGCTCAACTGACACTAGGACAGAAATACGCAGAAATATGATTGCTAAAAAGGAATCAGTGAAACCGTAGCGTTATCCGCTAATTTTAAACTTTCATCGCCATAAAAAAATGAAATATAAGCTGTAAATATGCAGTGCCAGCAGTCAGTGTACGTTTGGCTGTACATACAATGTCTGCAACATTCGTTTGATTTTGAGTAAAACTACAAAGTATAACTTTATAAGTACGTGAAAAATAAAATCCTGCTTTACGTCAAGTGGCTAAAACGAGGAGCGAAGCCCGTTGAATTTTCAATCCTACTTTAGTTGTAATTTTGACACCTGAAGTCCCTTGGTATGAATTATTCTTAAACTGATCTTGCACTCAGATATTTTTTAGTTGTAATGTGAGTTTTTTGCGAAAACTTGTTTTTAAAAATTTATCACAATTTTAATTCCTAGTTAAAAACCCTCAGCAATGCAAATTAAAAAATTGTTGAGCTAATGCAGTAGTTCAAGGCTCACTCTTTGTTTAAAATTCATAAGTGCTTAGTCTATTTAATTTTTTTATAGTTATGAGAAAAAACAGAAAAAAATGTTTTTGAGACAGAGATTTGAGATTTGTTTAAATTTGTTTTTACAAATTTAAACAAATTAATGCAGAAATTCATGGCTTTATTAATTCAGGTGATTATTAATTACAGTTGGCAGTAATCAATTTGGAATTGTGGTCACCTGGCTCGATCCATTATAACAATGTCATCTACATGATTTTTCAAGGTTCGCAGTTGCAGGATCGAGTTGGCAACAATTAGCGGAGTTTATTATTTTTTTTTTGACTTAGTGATCCTGATGGAGTTGTTGGAATGAACTCATTGATTCCATGAAAACCGCTGAAAGTAACATAGCTATGCTTATTGCAGTGCACAATCTGCTTCCATAGAATTTCTCATCATTCCAAGGCTGTTGAAAGTTGAATAATTTGCCCAAGCATAATTTTTTAAGCAAATTTTTCTTTCTTCAGAGTTATAATCCATAACTGCAATTAACGAATGTTACAAAACAGTATTTTTTTTCTTCCAAATGAACGAAATAACTCCAAAGCCTCTATGAGCAAATTTAGATGATTTCTGCTGAAAAACATTATTGAATAAACTCGTTTTTCCGAACAAGTTTTCCCTTATTTAAAACAAAATTATCTACAGTGAACAATTGAGACTAATTTTTGAAGGAGCGTTCCCTTATACTATGCAGGCACCTCTATTCTCAAATAATTGGCAAATATATATTTGCCACAGCAATGACATCAAGTTGGAGATTTTGCGCACGCGATCAGGGACATTTCCATCAATCATACTTAATTTGAGGCTCCCTAACTTCATTAGTTTTTGCTCTTTATAGCTAAAATTTTGGCTATGATAATTTGAAATGTAAACCAATTTAATTAAGTGTAAAATTTTATAATCTTGAGGAGACGCTGGTAAATACAATAACCCAAATAACGTCTCTCGATTTTCCAGCTCTTTACTTTTTTTATACACATGAACTTCGTATTTTCAGACCAATGAATCTCTCAGCTGGCATATTGCCAGTTTTTCAACATCTAATATAATGGAAATTTATGTACATATTTGTCTGTGTAACAGAGAAAGATAAATTTTCTAGCTTTAGTGCAAAAGCCTATAAGAATGAGCAGGCAAGTGAACAAATCAAAATTTATTTCCGGAATCTATTTTATATGGAAAGACAAATTTTTTATTGACATTTAGGTGCAATTGCTCATTTTCAAGCGTTGCCGGTCAGTTATAGTCATCAATGTGCACTTCTATCACCATAGGAGCTCGTCACAATTTCGTGTGAATGTCATTTCCATTTATTTCTTTTGCATTACAGTTAATTATTTAGAATTTTATGTTTGCGATGGTACAGATATAAGAGCGTTTGTTTATGATTGTTTTGTTAAATGAAACTATAATAGATTCTACATTGTACATCGGTTCTACAATTGTTTATAATTCTCTACATCTTTTTAGGAAGGCATGGAAGGTTAAACGTAAAGTTCAACTAGAATCTCTCTCTAGTTTGACTCAGGTTGGGGAATGTCTCCGATTGTCTTGCATATCGCATTCAATTAAATATCTTTAAATAGAAGCATATCTAAAAATCTAGTAGCTACTTGAAACTATCGTCAGTCATGAAAATATCCGGTCAAATGAAACGATATTAGATCTTCTGTGAACAAGGCACGAAAAGGAAAAGAATCGGCGACAGGCAACATATCAGGCCTACACTTCAGCGCCGAGATCAATATGTTATGTCATGTTATATACGAGTGACGCATAGGGTGTACAGTAGTACACTGTGCACTAGACAGCTGGACACTGTACAAAATCATTCGTCATGCTACATCGATTTTTTCCTTCTTTTTATTATGTTATTGAATATTTAACAATTTTCGGTTGTTGCACCAACTCTCCAGCCAAATGACATTGAATCAACGTCGATTTCGAGTTGATTTAGTTGCAACTACGTTTATTCAATGTCATTTTAACATCGAATGCCTCGTGAGAGTAATAAATTAGTTAACGGCTAATTATACCTCATAAGAATTATTTTTTTCATTAACAGCCGTTGATTAATTCAAATATTTGAAATCAATTCATAGCTTCAAAGATTAATAAATTATGCAAACAAATTTCTGGTCTCTTCTTCCATGTAAAGTAATACCGTGGAGGACAAGTTTACTCAATAATTCAGGTGGCCACAGCCTTTAGGATTAATATATCTTCACACGAGTCGTGAGAGATAAGGCATTCACGACGATATAAACAAATGAACCTCTTACAAGGTTGATAAATGCAAACAAATTAATGCAGAAAATCATGGCTTTATTAATTCAGGTTATTATGATCGTGCACATGGATTTTAGAAAGTTCTAATGGTAGTAGCCAACTAGAAAGCCAACATAGATTCATCATGTTCGATTAATGCTCAGGAAGCGAGGAGGTACTTAAGTAGCCAAATTTTTCATAGCCTGTGAGATTCAGTTTTTAGCACCAAAATTGATGAAATCATAAATCACCAAGGATGCCAAAAATTCAGAAAACGTCAACATTCACGGCCGGTCATAGTTTGCCATCTAACTATATGACCCTGTAAGTGGCCGTGAACCTCGGACCGGTCGCGACGCGCCCGTTGAAGATCACGTTGAGCTGCTCAGCCGCGGTCCGTACGAGGACCCTGGAGGTGCCACACAGGCGGTACGTTGCCGAGTTGTGGAAGTTGTTGCCGGCGTAGTTGAAGAGCGCGTAGGCTTGGTTACAGTCATAGTTGCCTGAGTTGAAGTCAGTCACAGTCATCTCGATCCGCTTGCCCACAGGAGCCTGATCAAGAAACCAGCAGACATTAAATGTCATAAATATTTGAGCCGAAAACAATTTTCATTTTTTTATAGAATATGTTTCGTAGGAAGGCTGATGCCTCATCCTTCAACAGCTGGGAGATACAAATTTTTAGGTAACAATTAATCGAAACCTTGTTCATTTATTATAGCCCTTACTCTTCTACAAACAGCTCTAAGGATGAGCAGCGCAGGGAAACACTAACACGGCCAAACGGTTTCGTCCGCTTTCTTCAGTTTTGAACAATTCCATCTACATTCATCTGAGCAATTCTATGGAAGCATATTGTGCATTTGTATTGACATCTTTATAAAGGACGTCGAATAAAGAGACACCATAAGTGTCTCACGCAGCGAACTCTGAACTGAAGTGTCTCAGCCTGGACTCACCCTAATCCACCACTCGCACATTGGGCTCGAGCTGAAGGTCGCTGGCAGTGTAATTGATCCCGTAACTCCATTGCCTATCCGGATAATCTGGAACAGCAGAAGATATTAATCATCAAACTACTACCTATGTATTTTTGTTTGTAATCAATGCACTGCATTCAAGGATTAAATGACATTTTACATTACCGATACTGTTCTACACTATCAACAAATCCAATAATGCAATATTGTATGGATGATCTTTCAAAAGGCAGGCAAATGGCATGAGAGAGGATTTAACGAGAGTTAGAAAATTTTTGGCAATTCCTTCACGATGTGGAGGAGTCAAATCGCAACTAATAATTTCATTTAATTATTGAAACACAAGTTTGTCATAAATCCTGCTCCTTTTGATCGGCTTAGTTCAGCTTGTGCACATGCAATTAAACGAATAAGAAGTTTATTAATAAAAAGCATGCTCTGGTCTTTAATAAAAAAAAGCTTCTGCCGAATTACACCTACTTGCAATTAAGAACACATTTAATTTCTTTCGGATACTGTCAGATACTATAGATGCAATATAATATTTTTTTTCAGATACTGATATATAGTATTAAGATATTGTTTGGTTAAAAATAATGCCAGTTTTATTGAGAACATCTTTTGAGTTTAATNGGCTCACAATGACCACTAACCGTATTGAAGACGATGTAGCAGTACGAGTTGGGCGCATGGTAGTTCGGGTAGTTGGGGCTCCCAATGACCACTAACCGTATTGAAGACGATGTAGCAGTACGAGTTGGGCGCATGGTAGTTCGGGTAGTTGGGCTCACAATGACCACTAACCGTATTGAAGACGATGTAGCAGTACGAGTTGGGCGCATGGGAGTTCGGGTAGTTGGGCTCACAATGACCACTAACCGTATTGAAGACGATGTAGCAGTACGAGTTGGGCGCATGAGAGTTCGGGTAGTTGGGGCTCAGGATGTAGGAGTATTGACCGGTGCCAAGTCGAGTACAGCTGCCATACAAATACATCAGCAGCGGGATGATGCCGGAGTTGATGATGGTGGGCCTCGCTGTGGTTGAAATGGTGGTTGTGGTAGACGTAGAAGTAGATGTTGGCGTGGAAGTAGATGTAGAAGTAGATGTTGGCGTGGAAGTAGACGTAGAAGTAGATGGTGGCGTGGAAGTAGTAGTGGAAGTCGATGTGGAGGTAGACGTCGATGTGGATGTGGAAGTAGAAGTAGGGGTGGAAGTTGATGTGGAAGTAGGGGTGGTAGTAGACGTCGATGTTTCTGTAGAAGTAGGGGTGGAAGTAGATGTGGAAGTAGACGTCGATGTGTCTGTAGAAGTAGGGGTGGAAGTAGATGTGGAAGTAGACGTCGATGTGTCTGTAGAAGTAGCGGTGGAAGTAGAAGTAGGGGTGGATGTAGATGTGGAAGTAGACGTAGATGTGTCTGTAGAAGTAGGGGTGGAAGTGGATGTGGAAGTAGGGGTGGAAGTAGATGTGGAAGTAGACGTCGATGTGTCTGTAGAAGTAGCGGTGGAAGTGGATGTCGATGTGTCTGTGGAAGTAGAAGTAGGGGTGGACGTGGAAGTAGGGGTGGATGTAGATGTGGAAGTAGACGTAGATGTGTCTGTAGAAGTAGGGGTGGAAGTAGATGTGGAAGTAGACGTCGATGTGTCTGTGGAAGTAGGAGTAGAAGTGGATGTGGAAGTAGTGGTGGATGTAGATGTGGAAGTAGACGTAGATGTATCTGTAGAAGTAAGGGTGGAAGTAGACGTCGATGTCGAGGTAGACGTGGTGCTGGAACGAATACATTAGTTGTAACAATGGATGATGAGTAACTAATTAAAATAAACATAATTAAAGATTTCCATTAACCACGCTTTCTTTTCACTATCATATCAGAATACCAGAATCCATTAAACCAAAAATTAGAAAATTATGTCACGATTATAACGCCATAAAGTTATAATTAAATAAAGATATTAATCACCATCACTCCTACAACGGTCGGAGTTAAGGCTTGGAAAACAATTAGCTAGTAACAATACTGAACATTATACTGCCTGGAAACTATACGTTTTATGTTCAGCCTCTCGAGGCAAGTTTTCTCACAAGGTTATCATTTGAACTCTGCATGACCGTAAGTTTAACCAATCAAAGTTCTGCTATTTTTTACTTGCGTTCAATATTATAATGTTTATTCCACAATTGTTTAGTAATCGCAATGCGTAATTAAGGGCATTAGTTTCGTATACTCAACACTAGTTTCGTATACTCAACAACTGGAATTCTACCAAGTGCGTTGTATCCAAATAAAATTTTTGCTCAAGAGTTATATGGTTCATTAATTGTATTATTCAGCTGGCACCGGAAGTTAATAATGTCCATTAATTTATTTATTGCACAGTGGATACCAATCAGGCGTTGTCTGGTCAATGAAAGTGATGGTTGCAGCATATCCCGTCCCGGATGAGAATTTCAGACGAGATTTGAAGTGCAAAACCATTCTTGTTCCTTCGCTCTCAAACACGTCACCCACGTTGATTTCAGCGTTACAGTACCTGAAAAATATATATTTCACTTAACTCATATAGTTTACGGATGTGATATCAACACCAACAAGTTACACGTGACTTTATAAAGCTATTTATTAGTTGAGGTGTAAAAATAAGTAATGGTTCCTTACCTTCACCTTCTAATAATTTTCCGCCGTATTTCAACACGGGTTCTAATCTCGACCAAATAAGGCATCGAACGCAAGGTCAATATCAATCATTAAATCAATTAGCTTATAAATACATATTTCCAGCGAAAATTTATGGTGTTTTCCGAAAAAAATATTTTGTTCCAGGCATATTTAAATAATATAAGGTATTTGAGGTATGATTCGAAACTTGAAAATAGTTTGAAGTTTCTTGGACTTACGTTGTTGAGATGGCAAGATTATCGTTTCTACGGATTGTTAAGAATTGAAAGTAGCAGGTGTCGCGACCATAATACGGTATGCGTTGGTAAAGCCCGAAAGCTGTAATCGTCAGTCGGACTTTCTTGCACGTCGGTGCTGTTATCAATTGTATGTACTCGACGGCTGATGGAGGAACAAACAAAAGCATTACAAACTATTTGCAGTGAAAAAATGTCAATAAAACTTTTAAATTAGGTTTGCAGGTTCTCATATTTGGAATGATTTAGATACAATCAGAAAAAAATTAAGGATTGCGAATGAAGTTGCGTTACTGCCATTGTTTCATTGTTATATCACGAATTGTAGTCGAAAAAGTGAGTAGAATTATTAACTACTTAACTATAAAAATTATTATTTAGACCCACATGGTGAGGGCGACGCAAGCTCTTGTATTTTAAATTTTTTTATCAGTTGAGATATTTCGGAGTATTTATATCGCTTGTGCAGTAAACTCACGTGTACAATTGTACTGAAGGTTTATAATCCTCTTGTCCATGAATGAGAAGCCGCTGGTCTGACCCATGAACATTTGTCCGAAAGGGTTTTTCGCAATCAAGGTTTCTTTTCCGTTCGCGGAAAAAAACTTTGGGAAAACAAACCATGATGCTATATACGGTGGTTAGATAAACCTTGAAGTTGTTGAAAGACAAATGTTGAAGTGATATACGGCTGTTGCAGGAGAAATGATGCATGAGGTAATATACGGTAGTCGGAAGACAATCATTCAAGTAATATTCTGTTGTTGAATCACACATATTGAGGCGTACAGTTATTGAAGGAAATCAGGTAAGTTGGCATACTGCTGTTGAAAGACAAAGTTTGAGGTAATAAATGATATAATGAATCACAAACATTGAGGTAATAAATGATACATGAATTACAAACAATGAAGTGAAAAATGGTGTAAGAATCACTAACACTGAGGTAATGAATAATATAGGAATCACAAAAATTGTCCTAATAAATGATATAGGAATCTCAAACATTGAGGTAATAAATGATTTAGGAATCACACACATTGAGGTAAAAAATGATATATGAATCACAAACAATGACGTAAAAAATGATATAGCATTCACAAACACTGATGTAATGAATGATATAGGAATCACAAACATTGTCGTAATAAAGGATACATGAATTGCAAACAATGAAGTAAAAAATGGTATAGGAATCACAAACATTGAAGTAATGAATGATATATGAATCACAAACATTGTGGTAATTAATGATATATGAATCACACACATTGAGGCAATAAATGATATAAGCAACACAAACAATGACGTAAAAATGAAATAGGAATCACAAACATTGAGGTAATGAATGATATAGGAATTACAAACATTGAGGTAATAAATGATATATGAATCACAAACATTGAGTTAATAAATGATATATGAATCACAAACATTGAGTTAATGAATGGTATATGAATCACAAACATTGAGGTAATAAATGATATATGAATCACAAACAAGCTCTTGTATTTTAAATTTTTTTATCAGTTGAGATATTTCGGAGTATTTATATCGCTTGTGCAGTAAACTCACGTGTACAATTGTACTGAAGGTTAACAATCTTCTTATCCATGAATGAGAGGCCATTGCGCTGGCCCATAAGCATTTGACCGAACGGGTTTTTCGCAATCAAGGTTTCGTTTCCGTTCACGGAAAAATCCTTTGGGAAAACAAATCTTGAGGCAACATACGGTGGTTGAAGGATAAACGTTAAGGTGATATGAGGTTGTTGAAAGATGAATGTTAAAGTAGTATACGGGGAGAAAATTGCAGGAAAAATTATAAGGTAATATTTGGTAGTTGGAAAGCAACAAATTAATTAATATTCTGCTATACACGTTATATTACCAACATTGAGGTAAATTAACACACTTATTGGAGGGAATAAGGTAAGTTGGCATTGAGGGAATGTAAGACAAAATTAAAACATTGAGGTAATATAAAATACATGAATCGCAGATATTAAGGTAATACAATGGTGTTGAAGTACAAACATCGAGGTATACGGTTATAGAGGAACAAACGTAAAGGTAATATACGGTTGATGAACGAGAAGCATTGAGTTAATATACGGTTGTTAAAAATGAAACGTTGAGGTTATATCCAGTTGTTAAATGAATATCTTTGAGGTAATATGCGGTAGTTGATAGACAAACGTTGAGGTAATACGTATACGGTTACTGATGAACACGTCTTATGTTAATATTCAATTATTGTTGAAAAGCAAACGTTAAGGCAATATATGGTTGTTCTTAGTCATATTTTCGAGCTGCAGACAATTCATCGAAAATATTTGTCTCAAACTATTCTTTTGTTAGAAAAGACTTGTCCGTGATTCACGATGAAAAAGATCCTTAACAGTGTGGTAAAAATAAATAATTATTACTAATATGAATCGTTATGCCGTGCAAAGGGGGAATAATCCTGATGAGTTTGGTGCATCACAGAATAACCGTTTTAATCACTCAAATTTCTTTGTATACAAAATATTCACGTATAATTTAATCACACGTAAAAGTTTTCAAAACCTACAGAAATATTCTGTGGAGAGATAAAACGCACTGATGATGTTTCAGGACATCTAATAAGTAACAATTCATACAAGTGTTAAATTTGCAGTTTCGATTAAACTCGATGAAACTGTGCACAGGTGTGTAATAAATCAAAGAAAATTCATGAAGGAGCTATTCGTCCATGCGATGCATTTAGAAATTCAGTGCAGTAGAGTTGTATTGGAACAAAACTAAATTCTTAGTCATTATTACAAATCATTGCTCCCCAATGTTCCATTTGTGGCATTTGAGTCATCATGGACATTTGATTGGAAGTTACACAATTGATTGAAAGTACAGAAGGACTCACAGTTGAACCGTAATGCATGACGGACGAGTAGTCGTAAGGGAGGTTGAAGTTGTTCGTTACTTCCTTGTTAAAATTATTCGCCTTGCCAGGCTGGATGTTGTCCGACATCACGGTAACGTAGTCGTCTCGGTCTAAGCGGCTTTGTTCATGAAACAAACCCATGGCGTGGCCGATTTCGTGGATAGGAACGCCAATCTGAAGTTTAAAAATGAGAACGATATGATTTTTTATATTAATTTACCGATATTTGGAAGCTTTGAATTTGAAACACGACTTGCAAATCATTCTACGCATTTTAGGTGTATGCATTATGAGTCTGAATTCTATTAAAAAAAATTACCGCGTTGAAACAGTCTATTGCCAAGTTCACTGCCTGCCCATTCATCCAAGAAATCCTGCCAACAGAGCTGTAGCAGCCCGGTCCGTCGTTTCGGAATACAAGATGCGGGTAGTTCACCGCAGCAGGTATTTCATGGAACCTGATGCAAGTGTTTGCTTCCCACACGTCCATGGCTTGTCTCGATATCGACCTGTTAGTGGCAGCTGTCGAGGTATGCACAAACAGGAGTGATCAGATTAAAGTTGATCGTATTTAATGAACTGTAAAACATACGAATACAGTACTATTGCCATCAGCGTGTATTATTCTCATAAATTTTATCATTAGGCATGAGAATATTTAATTAAAATACAAAGAAATAATAAAAAGAACAATAAATAAACGAAATAAATTAAATTTTCTTTTCCTTTGCCATTACTCGATCATTGCGTCCAATCTGGTAGTATGGGAAAGTGGGGTACAATCGGGCAAAAATTAACTGAAACATTATTTCCCTTTTCAAAATATGAAATGCTATATAAAACTAAGCCAACATCATTGGTTACATAATTAATTACCTAAGCAGTAATTACTACTGTTTCATAGACTAGAAATAATAACATTATAAAATAAAATAAAATGCCTGACTGAACCCCGAACCGAGGTACTGTGGGACAGTAAATGGACACTTCGCCTAATTATATTGATATACTCTACCTAATTATGAAATCATCGATTTTATAGTCTAGTGTCAGGTTCTAATTTTATAATTGCTGTTGTTCCCCATTTAGTGGGCTAGCTAAGAATGACATTAATGTTCCCCATATACCGACTGATAATAGATCAACTGCATCAAGATACACAAAATGTTCTGATTATTCTTTAGGACGCAAATAAGATATTTCATAATGGCCATCATTGTATTTTTGCTTTGTTGAAACAATTCTGGTATGTCATTGCAAATGAAAGAGAATAAATTCCTACAGAATCATATACCTACATAATATGTTTTTGACTCAGTGGAACTAATTTCTATAAAAACTTAATCATGGAGCTATGATTCTCTCAGCAATAGTTTAAAAGGCTTTTGGACCTTCTTCTGTAGCAGTATTTCTTTGTCTCTTGCTTTTGTTGAATTATGTAAACTACGGAATTTTTCTTCGGATGAAGATGACGAAGAGCCTCATAGCTCCTGCAATAAATATTTTACGGCTAACGTTAAATATATTTTTCATATTGGAAGGTCCGGGCCTGAAGAATTAGAAAGTCCTGGGAAGTGGATACTGTCTCAGTGTGTGCCCCAAACGAACTGTCCAGTTTTACCCCAAACCACAATTAAAAACATTCTCCCGCCATTCGTAATTAAGTAAGTAATTAATTTTGCATTTTTGGTAAAACTTGAAGAAATTTCGCGCAGGTGTGTAATGAATCAAAGTTATTTCATGTAAGAGTTATTCGTCCATGCGGTGCACTTAGGAATTTAATGCAGTCGAGCTGCGTGTATGGGAACAAAAATAAATTGTTAGTCATTATTACAATTAAATGCTTCTAAATGTTTCATTGAATGCATTTCGAGTCCAGCACTGTCGTATCGGAAATTTGATTGGAAGTTCACATAAGGATTTCTCGTGTTGTTCTAATCAAGCATCGGAAGCACGACTCACATCTGAACCGTAATGCATGACAGACGAGTAGTCATAAGGGACACAGAAAGTGTCTAGACTTACGCACAGAAAGTGTCTAGACTTACGCACAGAAAGTGTCTAGACTTACGCACAGAAAGTGTCTAGACTTACACGCATTGAAGCGATAATCGACATCGACGTAGCCGTTCGCAGACTTGGGCCACCAGTAAGTGCTGTCGGCGATGACTTTGCGCTCCTTGAGAGCTCTTTTCTGCTCGTCCGTGAGCAGAATGTCGCCTTGGTACAGATCTGGGTTCAGCTCCAGGTAGTTTATTCGAGACTAAAATATGGAAACAGAAAGTCAAAATGGTGAAATTGTACACAAAAGGATTGTTCTATACAGAGGTATATTTCCTTTTCAATTGGATCAATTTGAATATAATACATCGTTTTCGTTTCTCCTCGATAATCTTAAAACAGCCAGTATTAAAACAGCGGAATAGAGAAGTAGAAACAGGAAACTAATAATTAACTGAAAGCTAAATTAGCAACAGAAAACTTCTGGCAGTAGTTTGCGACACGCATTGAAACACTACATGTCCACTAACAGAGTTTCTGCTAAAATAGCAATGATTCTGAATGAATCATTGAATGATTATAAATGAATCATTGAATGATTATAAATGAATCATTGAGTGATTCTAAATGAATCATTAAATTATTCTAAATGAATCTGAATTTCGCAATTATTTTGTTGAATGACTTTCAATCCTTTTATACATTTATTTGCGGGTTGATAAATTTTGATCTCAAGTTGATAATTAGCAGTTTAGGATTTCTGAGCCGAACGTACCTCTAGGAATTGTTTTTCCATGGCCTCCAGCTCTTCGTCGCTCAGCTGACGTGCTTTGGATTGACTCACAACCTCATCGATTTTTTCATTGCCGAAATTCTAGGGGAGCACGATATGTTTTAGTACCATTTGAGAAGAGCAAAAAATTTAAAGTTCTTATTAGTAAAATTTTGAATAGTTTTTGCGCCACTTTTTTCTGAGCATGATTTCTACTAAGCAGCTCCAAAAAAAAAAAACCTTCGACTTGAATTAGTGAAATTTCTCTAGTAGTGTTTATATGAGCATAGTATTCCGTACTGTACTTTATGCCAGTACGTTACTTTGAGCAATAATTCTTGGCTAGTGTCAGAACTGGCTTGACTCGTGCACATTCAAGACACAAAACTACAGATCTCCTTGTGAGTATGCAGAAGGTAATTTGCGTAAGTGTGGGCAGAGGTGGGCAGTAGCGCGCTACATGCAGCGGCCGCTGGCCGCTCCATTTTCAGTAGCGGTAGCGGCGCTACATTTCAAAGTAGCGCTGCCCAGCTCTGTGTATATGACACTTTCTAAATGAATATGTTCACAATGTGGTGTTCTTGTTTAATTAGGCTCTATATTTGTATATCACCTCGGCTTCCTCTAACGATAATATATTCAACATTATTGATAATTTATATTGTTTTGCGAATTAGACTTTCAGTTGATTTGGAAGATCAAAGATAAAGCTTGAAAAAGCACATTTTATTTCGTTTGTTCGACTTTCTGAATAAACATTATTCATTATCAATTGAAGTGAAAGTTTTCAACGCTTCAAATGTGATTTGGAGTGACATAGTACAAAGCTAAGTATTGCAAGCGTTAAAAAAACTTCATTTTAAATGGTGCTGAAATATTTTTTAGGCGAAATGTCGAACAAATAAAATAAAGTGCCCTTGGAAAACATATTTTTGTAATTTTCAAATTAAACGTTCGAATCACTATAGAAAACCATACAAATTGGTAATATAATTTACTCTGATCCTCAATAAAACTTGCAAAATTAACCAATTCTTTTCCCCAATTTCCTAGTACGTGAACTCTCTTTCCGCATCGAGTCCAACTGTTTCTCAATTCGAACAAGAGAAGCTAAAAATCTATGTGATATAATATATAAGAATAATAATAATTAATGATAATCATAACAATCCACTCACCTCGTCAACCTGTGCCAATACCACCCCAGCCACTATAACCGCCAGAGCGCACAGAATTAGCAAAGACTTCATGATGGCAAACGCTGCAAATGGCTCACTGGTCATCTGACCATGCTGGTTTTATGCCATGACCAGATGGAACGCAGGTGTAAACTTAACGCTTATTCGAGATCAAACTTTTCAAGGTTATTTATCATTCATGTGGAAGATATAAATCTGCCTAATGGAACTGATCGTTCAATGGGGATATTGAAGGATTTGAAACCTCGGTTCAGGCTTTCAATGCCTTATTCTGATTAATGACGATCTTCTGAAATGTTGCACAAAAAGAACATCCATTAATAAAACACTATATAGCTTCATCCTATTCAGAATTTGACATCAAATTAATGGACTTGATTGAAAAATGTAACAACAAAAAATTTCAGAAATATGTATCTGCAGTTACAGAACTTCATTTAAGCTTTACATTTTATTTCTCGCTAGAAAATTACAAATTTTGAAGGAAACAGAAACCACGTATAAAAATTTCGTTTCTGAACAAGGCGTAGGTTCAAATTTTTAAATTGACTGTCATTCGTGCGCTTACATTTTCTGTTATTCATCTATGGGATCGTACCGTCAAATGTTTATTTCACTATGAAAGGTCATTTTCATGTCTTTCCGTCATTTTCATTTCTTTCCGTGACAATCAAATGCGACATTAAGAGCGCGATGACCCTGCCAATTTTATAGTAAATCGAATCTAACAAACTTACACGTGATTAAAAGACTCGAATTTCAGAATCATAATTGAGGAAATTTCTAACAGAAATTTTGTAGAATGGTTAGAGGTTAGCCCAATATCAATCAACGAGAGATGAAAGTCCCAAACATTCTAGTAAATTCCAACTCCATTGAACTTGCACGGAAATTTTGCTCCGAGTGTCAATCAATCACCGCAGCCACGCAGGTGTTATTTGACTTCAAATAAAACGCAGGTTGTTTCATTTTTCATTTGAGTGCACAGAGTGTAGCAGTGACATGTAAAATAATGTGTCATCAGCTTGAATGAAATCAATTGTAGCAACATATCTTTATGTCAAACTTTCAGTGATCAATAGCAGGTTGCAATGTTTCATTGTCATGGCTCTACAGATATACACTTTTCAGTGTCCGCTAGTTTTCAGCTCGCTTGTTCAGTGTCCACAATCCTCATGACCGAATCTTTTTGCCTTAATTTCCGACACCTTTTCAATTATTTGGCTATTTCACGTTTGGTCATGTTTTAGGGCGACATGCATCCGTAACAACCTCATTACAACACTTCTCTTTAACTTTGCGTCTTGTTGTTTGTCTCCTACAAATCTTATAATCGACATTTAACACATTTCTATCATGTCCAATCAATCTGAAATGCATGACTCAATTGACAATGCAGTCTCAAATGCAGTCGGAGACAATGCATGACTCAATTGACAGTATAAATAATTTTACAAATTACAAAATTTTTTGTAATATTAAAAAAAAGTTTAAAATAATTTTTAAAAATTTTCGAAAATAAAGTAAGAAATTCAATGTACAGGTGTAACATCCAAGACACTGCCTCTTTAGAAGTGTTGTCTTTTAACAAAATTATATTATTTCACGCGTATATTTCAAATTATATATAAATTAATTATATGCAAATTTCAAATATATTTCAAATTATTACGCATATTATTTCAAAAACAATTTTGCAAATCAGCTTCAAGTTGTTTGGGCTCTAAAGTCTAAAGTCCATGCACTTTGGGAATCCAGTTATCCCAAATTCCGCTTGCCCCAAGAAAGTCACTTTAATGAGAAAATGTCAGGTTGAAATGATATCTATTTCAATTCAAGAAGTTCATGTCCGCACCAACTTTTAAGGAAACTCGGTTTAATTTAACTCCACTTGAAAAATTACGATACTCGCTGAGAATTTTCGAATTTTTCCGTTTTCGAAGTAAATCTACATTAATCTATCATAAGATAATTTCATTTTCGAAGCACACAATCCTTTTTTTCTTTTAAAACACCGCCTGCTTCAATGACTGATGGTAGGCTTTCCTTCACGGTAATACACCGACATGTTGGTATTGTGGGTACGCGCTCAAAATGGTGCTATTCATTTGCACCATTTTGAAGGCTTCAAACGCACAGAAGGTTTCAAACACACAAACTGACTTTCCATTATATACTGTACATAAATCAAAAGAAATACTTTTAGAGATTAAGAATAATAATTTGGCATTATTCTATGTCTAATTTCCTGTTCCTGATCAACAGGTTGAAATATCAATAGGCGAGTCTCTTTTAAAAGAAACAATTAAGTGCACCTAACACAACGTCAAACGATCATGAGAACAGTGATGAAAGAATGATTGAAGTATATATCAGAAGAATAATTATAGAAAAATCATGGGAATAAGACGAAAGAATCGAGATGAAAAGTTTATGTGACTAATTCATATGAACCGTGATAAGAGGATAGGGTAACATGTGGCAGCGGGCCCGCCCTTTTTTTAAACTGAATTTGTGACTAAGTTTTAATTGATACGAGGTGGTTCTCTGTGTTGTTCAAAGTTATTACTAATGAGGAATGTATGATGTGAATTAAACGGCAATAAAGTTATACGATTTTTAATGAAACACTATTTTGGAAAAATTGTCAAATGGGCCCATTGCCCCACCCCTGGGGCATTGAGCCCATGGGCTTGGGGCAAGGCGCCCACCCCTTGTCCCGTTACCCCAATTGCATATTTTTTTCTTCAAATATGATAAAACAACACTTTACAGTTCAAAAATAATAAAAATGTAATAAAAATGTTACATTCATTCATTTGTTAGCAACTTAAAAAATCATATCTACAACTTAAAAAAATATATTCTTGGCTGAAAAAAAAATCTATCACTAACGTGAAAAATATTTCCTTGGCATTAAAATTCATCCTTGACATGGAAAATGTATCCTTGACTAGAAAAAATATATTTACTTGACCAGAAAAAATTTCGTTCAAGTTTGGTCCATAACCCAGATATGATGTGCAGGGAATTAGTACTTACTCGTGATTTCAGCCAACACCATAAAAACTCATCAACTTTTGGCTCATTGGTGTTGACTGAAATCAACTTACGGCAAGGCAGCAGTCAACAACTCGTGTAAAACTTGTTGCTTGAGGAATGCGAATACTCATATTGTGCCGTTCCATGAAATTTTTCAGCCAATTACCAGCAAATTTTTTTTGCTTGTTAAATAGGCGATTTTAATTTTGTCTCTCAGCAACACTGATTGCATTTCTCCTCACTAATGTATAAGACTTCTCCTCACTAATGATGTATAACAAAAGACTCCACCGAGGAGTATTGAGACCACCATGGGCGCTTTGCCCCGTGACACGCGTGGGCCAGTTGCCCCACTATAGTTATCATTTCAACTAATATCGTGTCAATATTGTATTTTAAAAGCTAATAGTCTAAACTTGATCTCAAAATCTTCCTTATGAAAAATACTTTCAAAATATAATTCATGGTACATTCAAAAGCTTCATGTACAGTAATCGAAAATAGTTTTATTTAGCAGCGAAAAAACTTCTATCTGGGCTAAAGCAGTTATTCGCGAGTAACCAGTGAAACTGTCGACCGGCGGTAGAGAACACGGACCAATATCTGCCATACTTAGCAGGATACCCGCTATGTGCCCATGACCCGCAGTGGTCCCTTTGCCCCATGTTACCCTATATATATACCGAGAATTCAAAAGGCAACAATGGCATCAGACATAAATGCGTTCTCAAAAAAAAAAAAATAATACCGCGTTGAAACAGTCTATTGCCAAGTTCACTGCCTGCCCATTCATCCAAGAAATCCTGCCGACAGAGCTGTAGCAGCCCGGTCCGTCGTTTCGGAATACAAGATGCGGGTAGTTCACCGCAGCAGGTATTTCATGGAACCTGATGCATGTGTATACTATTGCTGATGCAATGAGTAGTATATCATATCAAAAACTGTAATGATTACCAGTTGAAAAGTAATTCTGAAATATTGTAATATTGTCATGACATAGTAATCGAGCATTGAGGCTGAAACCTGTTCTTGACTGTTATATGCAATTTATGTCAAAATATATGTAGGTCATATATTACCTAAACCCATATTAATCTTTAAGTACACGAGAAAATCGCCTATAAGTTGGCTATCTCACAAATACATCAGTAAAAACATTTTCCTGAATAAGATGGCTAAGGTTCTAACATTGATTTTTGAATGTGTTATTCATATTTAAAATGAAATTCAAAGAATAATGGAAATATAATGGAAATTTATGTACATATAAGTCTGGATTACAGAGAGAGATAAATTTTCTTGCTTTAGTGCAGGAGCCTATTTTATAAGGAAAGACAAATTTTTGTACTGACATTTAGGAGCAAGTGTGCGTTTTGAAGAGTTGCCGGTCCGTTGCAGTGCATTTCTCTCACTGTTTGAGTCGTCACAATTTCGTATTAATATCATTTCAATTTATTTTTCTTGCATTCCAGTTAATTAAGAATATCATTTAATTAATTTAGACAGTTTTGCTAATTGAAATTCTTTAATTATTTAGATAGTTTCGTTAATTGAAACTATATATAATCAACTACCATCGTTTCTATAATTATGTAATTTTCTGCATATTTTTGGGGGAATGCATGGAAGCTTGAACGTAAAGTTAAACCAGAATTGCTCTCAAGTCTGAATCAGGTTGAGTAAGTCTCCGATTACCTTGCATATCGCATTCAATTAAATATCTCTAAATTGAAAAATATCTATGCCTACGTTGTTTAACTTCCAGCCTATATATATTTAAAGGAGGCTGCACATGAATGTTAGTCATATACGACTGACGCGTAGGATGTTCAGTAGTAAATTGTGCACTGTACAGCTGTACACTGTACAAGAATCATTGGTCATGCAACATCAATTTCTTCCTTCTATTTCCTATGTTATTGAATATATAACAATTTTCAGTTGTTGCACCAAATCTCCAGGCAAATGTCATTGAATCAACGTCGATTTCGAGATGATTTAGTTGTAACACGTTTATTTAATTTTATTCCAACGTCAAATGCCTGGTGATAATAGTCAAT